ATGTTTGAAATTTGACTAATAATAATAATAATAATAATAATAATAATAATAATAATAATAAATTGGTTCCTAAAAACACAGGACAAAGACCACACTAGTTAAAAAAGTCTAAATGCCAAAAAAAAAATCTCCTCCATTCTGTATCAGCCAATTGAGATGCCTCCTGTTGCAGAGGCTGTGAAAATGGTGTCTGCTGTTGTCCATTATTTCTCTCAGTTTGTCCATTTGGTCCTTTACAACACCGTCTGTAATGACTCCAGGCAAAACCAAGCACAGCGCTGGGCTTTTTGCACCATCTTATCCAGACAGCGTCCTCAAGACACCTCAGCAAATGTTTGCCGTGTGCTTCTGTTGGCAGAAGCCACTGAGGTTCTCACGGTAGGACAACCTTCAGTTAAAAAAATACCACAATTCAATAGTGTCTCACAAAACTTTGAGACAAAAATGCATAATATGAGCTACTTGCTTTAAATTAAAACAGAAAAACAACATAATGTTTGACGAGATGTTAAACTTTTGAAAATATCTTTAAAATCCAAAATAACTTTTTGAAATCTCCTGATTTCACTTAATAGTACCAGAAGAGGACCTATGGACCTATGGAAACATTTTTTCCATGTTTTTACTCTTCGATTTGGGTCTCAACTGCTTCTAAAAGCAGCCCAAGTGCTACAAAAGAAAAATAGCCAGATGAATTTTGTCAATAAGTTCATGTTTCTTGGTGCCTCTAGAATGAACCATTTCAAAACACTTAAGATGGTTGAGTCACGATTGACAGGCGTAGCAACCGAATCAGAGTTCCAGCATGTTCGGTCAGCTGGTTTTACTGCTGCATGCATGCGCTGTACAATGGCTGCTGGACAAAATAAGTGTTTTGCTGTTGATTTACCATCCGAAAACCCCTTGCTGGATTCTTGTTGTTTGTGCAGGAGGCTCAATTTCTGCTTTTCAAACATGCACGGTGGTATAATTGAGCATCTGTTTGAAGACATTTTTATGTGTGGGTGTAAACATTGAGTTGAGGTCATGACCAGCAAGTAATAGAGGCCCAAAACCAGCTCATTGTGAATGAAGGTCAAAATAAAAATAGACAGAAGTGATTTTCTGCAAAATAATGTAATGACATGTTTTGTGTAGCCCACAGATCAGTTCTAATCTTTGAAGATTGACAAAAGAGATTTGCTCTTGCATTGTGATGTATCAATATCAAATACCATAAAAATTTTATCATAAAAGGATTTTTTTTTTCCATATCGCCAAGCCAAGCATACAAGCAATTTTGATGTTTTCCAATCAAAGCGTATCAGTGCAGTTTCATTTCCATTCGTCCAAAAGGGACCTTCAGTTTCCTGTCCTGTTGGATCTATCTGAAGGGGACTGCTACAGTCTGTCAGCCAGAGCAGAAATCCTGCAGTCAGATGGAGCTGTTTGCATTGATATAATAAAGGAGAGGTGCAGTGCAGCAGGTATCAGTGAGCTAAGGAGGAGCAGAGGTGATAGACGGAGACACATCGGGCCTGCCGAAGCCGTACTTTCAGCTCCTCTGAGAGATGTGAGGCAGTAAACACTATAAGCCGCCTGCAGCTGTGTCATACATATTATTAGGTTAGCTGAGGAAACCCAAGCCTAATCCTCTTCAACTCTGCAAGGCAAAGCAGGGAATCTGCGCACATTCATTATCACACTACGGTGTTTATAGATTTTATTCAAGTAAATCCGTAACTTTGCGAGTGGCAAATAATAGCATGTGATAAGCAGGAACTTGATACTTAAGGTATTTTATTTGCAATCATTACAGGATTGTAAACACCTTAAGAATCGTAAAGAGGAAGGACGGACGTCTCGGAACGGGAGTGTTGCAATATTTACTTATATCTTATCTGCACAAAATATTAAACAAATACTTTTTTCACATGGAGTGTTGAGATGAGGACTCACACTCAAAAGCTGTTGGTTGATGAATTTATTGAGCAGTAGGAGTTCTTAGTTTAGAGAAAAGAAGAACAAACAGATTTGTCAGTATTTTTACCTGCTGATCACACATTGAGTGTCATAATTGTCCAATTCTGGTGAAGGTGAAGATTGTCCTAAGACTGAGCCATGAGGAACTCCTTCTTTGGCTCCGGCCTTCGCTCACGTTACCTCCTACTTCACCAGTTAATCTTCAAACAACACACAGCTTGTTTAGAGATGTTTATGTTTTTATTTCCAACATTGACTAGAAGTGGGCAGCAACCTGTGGGGGAGGGGGCAACGATGAAGCATCGCTCTGCATTTCATACAGGCAGAGAAAAATGATGACTGCAGCTTTCTGTGAGTCTGTAAGCCTGAATCATGATAAAGCTTTTATTTTATTTATTTTAGAATTTTTTCGTTTACAAAAAATTACAAAAAAATCTCTAGTTTCCCTTCTTTGACCTCTTAGTGACCCTTCCACCTCATTGGTTTATTTACATAACAATTAACCCACATTTCCACCTACAGTGATGATACAGCCTGACAGTCATCGTTTCAGGCTGAGCACAAGGCGTCACTCAAAGCAAAGTACGGGAGGCAGTGACGAAGACGAGCGGCAGGGAGAGGAAGATCAAAGGTTCGGGGTTCATTTAACCTCAAGTTGTTTTAGTATTTGACAGATATGCAGCTACTAATCCTCATGAATAAAGTTTCCTGTGTCATCGTTTTCCATCAAAGACGTTCACAGACATTTACTGGGAAAAAAAACATTAACAGTAGTCTCTTCATGGAGTCTTTGCTCCAGTGCATAGTTCTGACTGTTCAGTTAAATATTTTTGAATATTGTTTTAATTTTGACAATCTGGTTTTACTGCTGCATGCATGCGCTGTACAATGGCTGCTGGACAAAATAAGTGTTTTGCTGTTGATTTACCATCCGAAAACCCCTTGCTGGATTCTTGTTGTTTGTGCAGGAGGCTCAATTTCTGCTTTTCAAACATGCACGGTGGTATAATTGAGCATCTGTTTGAAGACATTTTTATGTGTGGGTGTAAACATTGAGTTGAGGTCATGACTGTTACAGAAATGTATGGAAATTCATACAGTCCAAATTTATGCACCTTATTTTTGGTTTTCACAATGAGGGTGGAGCCCCACACATTTATAAGACTATATGCTACAGACTGATGGTGCATAGCCCACTATATACTTACTTTATAAATTATTGGACAACTAAAGCATTTTTGCTGTCAACACAGGAAATAACACGTTTCCCTTTTGATGCAAAGACATTCATTATTTTATTTTGTTATTCAGGTTAATCATTCTGTGCTTTTACACCCACTCACCACTGAATCAGCCATATGACTGAAAAAAATGTGAACTGTGACAGTAGCGTTGGGGACATCAGAGCTGCTGCAACATGCTTAGCACTGAGTTGATATTTTAGCCTTGAATATCTCGTTGTTAGGCTAACTCCGCTTAGCACAACTTTCACACGACGATCGTTTAGTTTTTCTTTCCAGGGCCCCACCGGATTATTTTTTGAAACAAACTTTTCTTAATTCCCCAGTGGAACTAAGAAAGGCGGCTTTGTCGTCCGTCGCTGTTTGCTGATGTTGCTTGTGCGTCAAATTTACCGGTGTACCAGAAACATGTGAATGCAAACGTTCCCGCTCGTCTTAATATTTTTAATACGTTAAAATCTGTGCAAAGTTAGCATGTTAACATCCCAGCCCTAAACAACACATTAATTATTTTGAAAACCATAATGTCTGTTGTTAAGCTTATCCCCATTTTTAGCAGTTAAGAGATCCAGACCCTCTAATCAAACTTAAACTGTGTAGTCAGTAATTACTTAATCGTGTTTATCAGGTCGCAGTCTAACTCTTTAAGAAGAAGGGGAAACCATGCTGTGGTTTACTTTTTTATTCCCTCAGAGGACTGATCGAGGTCTTTTAAATCTCTGATCGGTGCAGGTTCAGTTAAAACAGATAGAAAATAAACAAATACTGAAAAGTGAGCCAGAGGTTAAACTGACAGGCCCTACAAAACTAGTTCAGGTTAATAGTTTTGAGATTTTTCCCCCACATTAATTGCTTCTTCTTCATAAAACTACAACATTATGATTTTGTAAAATGTTTATGAATATCTTCCAGGGTCGTTCTTAAAGGATTGTACGTCTTTCAAACACTTTTGATCCTGTTTTATTTTATTTTTTTACTTTCAAAACAGGAAATATATCTTATTGCGATAAAAATAAATTTACAGATTTGCAAACCATTTTTTCCACAAACATCAAAACTTTCTTTTATGACAACATTAACAAAGAGATGTCTGACTTCAAGTCGAGCTGTTTCAAATACATATGATGATGCCCTCTCTGACACGGAGTTGGTACTTTTCTTCAGTGTCTATTTATATTTATTGTGTTTATTTCTTGGCTTCCAATTGAAGTTTTCCGAGCTCGTTGTGCACAAAGCAAGATGCGGCGTAGATTTTTTTCTTTTATTACCCGTAGTTGCAGAATAAGTGTCGAGGGCAGCAAACTCTGTAAGCCTCCGCCGCAACACAAAAAGCAAGCGTGTGCTGTCAAACTGTCAAAACTCACACTTCAAGGCTTGTGATCGGCCTGCCGTGTAAGGGTTCTCCGTCTCTTTTATATCCACGGTGTTTGTGTACGCTGTTCTGTATGAGTGACTACAGGACTCCTGCTCATGCTTGTGTATTTTCTTCCTCAATGTGTGTGCATTTGAATATACTCGACTTGAATGTTTGAGTTTCCGTCTTGTGAACAAGCCTCACCCTCTGATCCACTTTGCTGACATTATACTCCACAAACAGGCCCGATAAATGGAGATATTACCCAACGCGGTTCACTTGGGCAATTCTCAGAAAGCTGCCGCAGTTTCTGCTGTTTGAGCACAGATGGAAATGAAGCAGGTGCAAGAGAGTACTGATGGTGATTTTATTTAAAAAATGAAGAACTAACCATCATACACTCAAATGTTTTGCTTTTATTCCCTACCTATTCATTCATTGTGTCCTAGTTCAAGTCCTTGCATCCTTCCTTCTCTTCTTGTCCTTGTTTCCTGCCTCTAATCTCCTTTCCTTCTTGTGTCCTTCATTTCTTTCCCTCCATCATGTCTGCATCTCTTCCTTTCTTGTTTTTTGCAGGTGCTGTAATTAAATCCCGCTCTTTAAACTTTAACATTTTACATTTTTAAATGAAGGAATGAGTTTGAGACTTCTTCCATTTTTCTACTCCTGGAACCTGGAAACACATTTCCAGGTTGCAAAAAGTTGAAAGTGGAACTTGCATGAAATATTTCAGTTTGATTAGTTTGAATTAAATCATGACATACCCCTTGTTTAATCCAAACTTTGATATCACACACTTATTAATCCTGCCTGTCAACACCTATTGAAAAACGTTTATGCATCAAGTGAACAGATCAAAGACTGTGTCTTCAAGCAGACGGGTTAACACTCTTAAGTGTGTTTTCCCCAAATCTGTGCAGTTTAAAAGAATGGAGTTGTAAGAGGCGTGATGGAAGTGTTTACAGATGGAGAGGGAGGGAGCCTTATGCTCCATATTAAATATAGATTTAACTGCTGCTGCACATGTCATCTCTTTTTGTTTCACATTTAATTGCTCCTGCAAGGCTCCCAGCGTTTAGCATATTGGTGAGAATACAAAAAGCCCATTTTCTCTGCAACGACAGCAACTGGGTCCTTGTGGTATTAAGATTCAACTCTTAATCTTTGGGACAGCGAAGGCTGCGCCCTTCACCACAAGAGGCTACTCTGATATGCACATTCTGAAAGGAGGGAAATCAATTGAATTGAACTCCTAGTGAGCTCCGCTTTTGTCTGGGTTTTTATTCAAGCTTGCAAAAGAAATATTTGATTTGCACACCTTTTCTAAAAGCTTATAAAGGCTTAAAATGGGATGAAGCAGGAGTGAGGATTAGGTTTGGCTTTGACCTGCTTCGCAATAACATAAATAAACCTAAGATGCAATATTTTATCTAAAGAAGTATGTTGGCAACATTGGATGAGTGATAATTGAGAAGTTTAGTTGTAAAAAGAATACATTTTGTTATATACCAAACATTCAAAGACAGTTACACGTTTCACTGAAGGACGTTGTTATTCTGTTCAAAATATTTAAATTTTTGATTCATAGATGAGAGACGGATCAGAGATAGTAGAGTCAACTTTGCACCAAATCTCTGACCTGCTTCTTCTTCTTCTTCTTTCCTTTTTATGGAGGTGGGCAAACAACTTATAGGCACTACCGCCACCTTCCAGAGTGGAGCATGGATAGGACGTTTAACACTCTGACCTGCTGAAACTAGTTTCTCTTCAAAAACCTTGAATGTTAGAAACACTGAGCACACTGACGCGCTATTAAAATAGTTAAATAAATGTTGTTTCGCCTGACAAACTCTCTGTTTGTAACACTGCAGATGTTTTCTTCTTCAAAGTAAAGAAATGTATCAGTGAATGCTGACCAAGCGATGCTTTTTCTCCGGTTCCTCTGGTTTACGCTCACAAACTGTAACACGGATAAAACTGCTACCAGCTTCATTAATTACTCTGCTCTATTTTTTTTATTTTAGAATTAAATTAAGCACAACAAAACTCAATTATTGCGCTAATGAGAACTGCACTTGAAGCATGTATTGCGTCTCGAGAAGCACAGCTGATAAACCATTAACTTTATTCTTATTTATGTTGTTTGACACAAAAAGTTTTGCACAGAAAATTACGACTAAATGACATGAATTAATAAAATGTATTGTTTCCAGAGTTAGGACAGATCTGGTAAAAGCCCTGCTGAAAGACGGTTTTATCTGCCGTTGCTTTTGATGGTTATGGTTTTATTAGCTGTTTTTATTATTTCACGCTTTGATGATTTTAAAACTAAACAAATCTATTTTTCTGGATGAATGTAAATGATTATACTTGTAAACGGTGCAGCTATCCTTCCAGGTTCCCCTTAAAAAAAAGAGACATGGTAGATCTAAACAAGTTTTTTATCTGGTTAGATTATCATTAATTATTATTATTATTATTATGCAATACAATACAGGGAATAGCAGAACAAAGGATGTAATGTAACTGTGCACTTGTGCAGCGATTCAGAGCTCTTAGAAATGACAGGTAATTGGTCGGGAGCGAGTTGAAAAATACATTTTAACTCAGTCAGTATAAAAAATAAACAAAAAGGCTAATGTCAGCCTGAATAGCAACACCAAGACTTTAGGGTTCTGTGCACAAGGCAGTGAAGAGTTTATACAGAAAGCTCTTGGGTGAGCAAGATGAACCCCCAGATCACCAGTAATAGCCCAGCTCACCTCAATGTTTAGCTTCAAGCTCTAATGGGAATTTCATTTGACTTATTGGTTCTCTGCTGGCTGTAATTACCGAACGTCTTCAGCGAGGCTTTGTGTTTTCTCGCCAGCCAGGGACAGACTTTGTCTCAATTAGCTCTCAGTTTTATCTCTTCTCCCGACGCCTCACACCTCAGTGGCAGCGACGGGCGTGTTTGTACCTGCTGCCTTACGCCACGCCGCTATTGGTCCCATCCTTGGCGTGACTTTGAAGATTAGTCACTGGAGCGTGAAGAAGCTTTTGAAGTGTTGCCGATTCTTTGAAGTTTGTGATGCAAGGTTGGTCGGGGGGGTTTATTTTTTTTTTTCTTTCCACCTTGTCAAAGTGTTACACAAAGTTTGTGCCAGCTTTGAACATGTAAGGAATAAGTGGAGGGAGCAGCAGTCAGAGGCATGAACATAACATGATAGCGATTTGGATCATCAAAGTCCATCTTGGAGCCGTTTCAGACACCAGAGTGCGGATGCTACAGGTCCCCTCACGCTGACCTGTCACCGTCACTTTTTAACTTTGCTTGGCGATTGGAACCGCAGGTACATGACAACCTGTTCAGCTTGTATTTACTCAGATTTAAATGTTATGTATGTGATCAGAAACGAGTTCGATGTCTGCAGTCCTTTCACTCAGGCCTGTGTGCCTGAGCGTGTGATATTTATCAAGATGGAAAAATGGAAACTCTTTATTTCTAACAGACATAAACAAAGCAGGCAAGAGACACATTGTTTGTTTTTTTTATAGCCACAGTAATCGTAACATGTTCGAAAAGGAGTTAAAACATATAAAACACCCCATAAACTCATATTATGTTTTCAGATGCAACTCAACAAACGGCGCATTATTCACGGATCGCAGGATATTTTTAATCTTTCTAAGTTTAAGATTAGGAATTTTTTTATCCTTTCTGCATATTAATGTCATGGGTAAAAGTGTCAAATGCCTTTTCAAATGTGGAAAATTTACTTCAGCTACTATTTTATGAATCATAAGGAGATGCATAGGATATAAGTAATTGGCTGATTTAGAGCCTCTGATTCGGTGAGAAGGAAATAACCCTCTCAAAAGTCAAAGTCAGTGTTAATTCAATCAGGGTTGCAGGATTTTAACTTGTTTGTAAAAAAGTCAGTGAAAAAATAAACGTGACACAGAAATCATAATTAAAACCACATCTCAAGATTTCGTTCTTCTGTTTTCTCGTCCTAGAAAACAGAACAACACCATAAACACAGCAGGGTGTTTTATTTGTCCACTGGTGTGTTTTTCACCTCAGGGCCACCATCTAAATGCTAATACCTTCTTAATATTTATTCTTCCCTTGAAACTGGCATAAACTTTGCATATATTGTGCACTTGGCTAAATGATTATGACTAAAAACAAACTTGACATTGGAAACAGCAAAATGAGAGAAATCTGCCCACAGAAAAGTAACAGCTACAAAAAAAAGGAGAGCCAAAACGTTTTCCCGGCCAAAACTCCACTTCCCTCGTACTTCCAACATGAAACCGATGAAATCTCGACGACTTGATAAATTGTGCCGCTTGCGGTGCGAACGTATGTCTGGACCGGCTGCATGTCGCAGCAGAACCTCGCCTCTCGGTGAACCGATCAAACGGCTTCAGCATCCAGCCGTGCTGCAGGCAAGGGCAGCAGCTGCTGGACACGGCCTCCGCTGACCCTGTGGGTCAGAGCAGCAGTGCAGATGGCCGACCAGCAGCGCTGCGCCGCACCACCAGAGGAGAAGCCATGCCAAATTTATCTTCTTTGTATCCCATTGAAATATGACTCATAAGCAGAGGAAACTGCTGACTGCAAATAAACGACAAGCTGCATTTAAAAAAAAAGGGGATTTTGTTTTGTTTTTTTCGCTTATGCTAATAATATTCTAGGTTTCTTCATAGTGGTTCTGCAAACAAAATAATTTTAAGGATATTTAAAATCCTTTTAGATGCTGCCAAGTGTTTGAAGCCAGAATATGTCTGTCACCGTCTTACAATACAGGCTCCTGAGTGCACAGCCCACAGAGGCAGCAATAAATTGTTCTGCAAACTGTTAATTGTAGAGAACTGACAACAAAATTAAATGCAACGTCCCGTTCGGTGGCGACATTCACTGACTGACTGAGACGATGAAGCCCAGGCTGCAGATTGTCGGTAAATTTCAGATGGATGCTTTCAGTGAAACAATTGAGCATTTTAATCTTTCCTGAAGATGACAAATTGTTTTTTGACTTCATTTATTAGAATATTGTCTCAGAAGATGCAATCCAGCATAAAAATGATGATATGTTCCAACAATTACAATCTCATGAGAATATTTCAATATCTAACTTGGTGTCACTGGTTTGACTTTCCTTTCTTTCCGTCCATGTTAATAAAACAGAAGATCATCATAAGTGTGCAAAAAGCCCAGTAGCTCTAGAAATATCTACCATTAGGGCTTTTATTTTTTTTTTATTTTAGGTTGGACTAAAAGCGAGTTATTTCATGTAGGCATGAAACCGATTTTAAATTGGTGTCAAAAGACCACGGCTCAAAGCTTTACTCCGTCTCAAGCACTAAATTGAAAGTGGAAGTAAATGCCAGCAAAACACCCAGGAGCCAAAAACTTGTTGATTATAATAGTGTTTTTATTTTTGATTAATAAGTGTAGATTCAGGTGGAACGCCGTAATAAAAATCCAGGGTAAAAATCAGCTGTACTTATAGTTCTAAAGCAAACTTCCTAATCTTAATAATTTTTGCTTTTCTTCCTTTTCACTGTAAAATAACAAAGTGCAGTTAGCTGAGGCAGCAGCCTGTTAAATCTCACCTCTCTCTCATGTAGCTGGTTGTTAACATCTTTTACAAACCTGAGATATTTTTCTGACAAAAATGTTACTTTGTTTTACTGTTGATTTCATCAGAAACGTGGATCCAGATGCTGCTGTGGTTTATTTGTCTCAGTCATTTTGCTCACTTTAAATGAAGTGTGTAAATCTCAGATTATGCCAAGCAATGTTACCAAGGGGGCATCAATAAATCTCCACTTTATTCTTGGTAATGCTGCTGAATAATTGATCATGGTATTAATCTCTGACGGAATCACCACAGCTGCAGTAAAATTGTTTGTTTTGGGATGTTGTGTGCTGTATTTTGAGTAAGTGGTTAGCAGTTAGCTAACTTTCAAAATGTTTTCTTCTGTTACATTAATTGTCCTTCTGTGGACATGAAAATAGTTTGTGCACATTTTGCTGATGGTAATGTCATTATTGTTGCATTTAATATGTAGAAATTGATGCTTCCACATGTTTTTTTTTTTTTTTTCCAGTATTTTCTTCGACAGAAATCATATGTTTCCATGTGAAAATGGCAGACGGAAACGAAACAATCAAAAAATAAAGTAGAAAACAGATTCTTGTACTTTTCTATACACAATGCACTAAAACTTATGTTTATTCAATTCAAGGAAGAAAACAGACAGGCTTTTACATTTTTCCGATTGATCAGACTGAATTAAGAACAAAAACTGTTTATTCTGATTCAAAACATGACCAGATTACGTTCATACGTCCATCTGGTCATTAATTTTGAAACGCTCCACGTCTCCAACAAACAGCAAGGTGTCTTTGAACCAAAAAAAAATTAAGAAATATCAAAATCACACTTATCACCTGACGTCTAATACGCTGCAGCATAAATGAGTTTTCTCCCAGCTCCCTGGTGCAGGTAAATGAGAGCCAGCAGAGAAATCTCTCCATTTGCATGTTAGCTAATTGTATCATTGCTCTAGGCTCCCTAATAGTCAATGAATTTTCTAAGGAACAGAGTTCAGAGGGAATAAAAATGGCTGGAGCTTCAAAGCATGTAGCGACTATTTGTTGTGAAATGGGATTTGCCGCAGGTGAAAGGAAAAAGAGGTCCTGCTGTGAAGGGCTGTGGTATTGAAGTTGGGAAAGATATATGAGGCAAACATGGTATAATCTTTCTCCCAAGACCATAACCACCCAAGTGAGGAAGAAGAAAAAACAAATTATTAAGCACATATAAAACACTGAGCGTTTATTTGGTCAAACTTTTGCATTTAATGTTGCCTTCGAGCTCCATTGTTACGGTTTCATTTCACATCACCTGCTGCTAAATAAATGCAGCTAAAAAAATGAGCCTAAGTGAATAAAGAGCGAAGCTCTTCTCCAGAAAACGAGGCCAGTGTTTTTTCTGCTTTTGCCATGTCACAGTCGATGCACCACACAATACATCACTCAGTTATATTTATGAAGACTGCAGTCTCTATAGACGCTTTAACAGATTGAAGGACGAATGGAAACAGTTATAGTTCCTGTTTACTCTGGGAAAGTGTAGAAAATCAAATATGACTATTGGAAAATATTTTCACTCTTTATTCCCTGTCCTGTTGTCTGTATCTGTCCTTCCTTCCTTGTATCTTTCCTCCGTGTTTCTCTCTTTGCTTTCATTTCTTCTTTTTCTTATTTCCTTCCTTCTGTCCTTTTTCTTCTTTTGTTTTATTGCTTCATCCTTTGACCTTTCCTGCCTTCCTGTCCCACTTGTGTCTTTATATCAGTCCATCCTTCTGTCCGTTTTTCTTTTCCTCCTCCCTCATCACCTCGACCTTCACTTCTCATGACCTTTTCTCTTTCCTTCATTTGGTCCTTGTTTACCTTTTCTTTTTTGTCACTTTTCCTGTGTCCTTCTCCCTTTTTCACTCATTTCCTAACATTTGTCCTTCTTCTCTTTCATGACCTTATTGCTGCTCTTCCTCGCTTCCTTATATCCTCCCTCCTTCCTCATGCTCCTATTTCCTTCTTTTCTTTCTTCCAATTTCCTTCTTGTGTTCAACTTTCTCCCTTTCTTTCCTCACTTGTATCTTTTATTTCTTTCCTTGTCTCCTACCTTGCTTGCTTTTGTCTGTCCTACCTCCCTTTCTTCCTTCCCTACCTTGTTTCCTCCCTTTATTATTTTTCATCTCTCTTCTTTTCTTGTCCTTTTCTTTCTTCCATAGTTTTGTTCTTTTTTTTTTCTTTACTCGTTTCTTTCACTGCAATAAAACAAAATTTGACCAAGTATTTTAGTCTGGTTTCTAGTGCAAATATTTTAGTGCACTTGAAATAAGACACAACTAACTTAGCAAGAAATTGAGGCTTATTTTAAATAAATAATTCCTTAGTATTGATGAAAAATTAACTTATAACATGGGGAAAATGACTTGCTATAAGTGAAATATTCTGCCATTGAAACTAGAACTTTTTCATCAATATTAAGGAATTATTTACTTAAAACAAATTCCTATATCTTGCTAAAAGTAAGTCATTGTTTGTTCTTATTTCAAGTGTACTGAGATATTTACGCTAGAAATTAGACCAAAGGTACCTGGTAAGATCCTTGAACCTGCCATAATTTTATAATGTTTATTATTATTATTATTATTATTATTATTATTATTATTATTAGTTTATATTCTAAGACCTTTGATCCACATTTTTCCCTTTGGACATGAGAGATGTATAAACCCTTTCCTGTGGTGTGTTTAACTTTCGGTGGGACTCTGCATTGCGATTTAAATAGCATCTAATTCCAACATTGCCAACAAAACCTGCTCCACATGAAAGGAGGAAAGCTGTTTATCCTCACAGCTGGTGGAAAGCTGCCATGACACAAGACAAACAAGTTTCCTGTTTCTCTGTTTATTTGATTGTACTGGTTGTACATGTTTATCCAACGCCACTTGGAGAGAATAAATATAAATAGACTTTTTATACAAAAATAGGTTTGGCTAGCATTTATTCTAATCATAAAAGAATCTGGTGTGAGAAGGTAATACAGGAACTAAAATACTGTTGTCATTTTTACACTTGATTTCTTGATCAGGCTGCCGGCTCCACTGAAAATATTCAATTTTCTGTACATGTTTTATGTTATCCTCCTTGCTTTTTCTTACTTTAATTTATGGTAAACCCCTTCAGATTTGTGGTTCAATTTTTGCTAATTTTTCTGTGAAACATAACTCTCAATTATAACCAGAAACAACCCTATTCATGGATTTATTTTTAAATATTAGGTGGACAAAATGCAGCTTAAAAAAGCTGAAATATGTAGATTAAATGGTGTTTAAAGCCTGGTGTTGGCAGGAGTGCAATTCATTTTCCTTTTAGGTAAATTCAGTTTCAAGACTCCAATAATTGATATCTAACAGGAAGAAGTTACTTGAAGTTAATCTGGATTGACTGAGTCATAATCTCCCTCATTTCACAGGGTTGACAGGAATCAGAACCACATCAGAGGCAATAAGGTGCAATAAAATCCTCAGTATGATGTACAACTATGTGACTTTATAGGTTTGTTGTTGCCATTTTTATGAATTTTTAAGGATTCAAGGATTTTATTGTCATTCCATTTCGCAAATTTTGTGGTACGACATTTGAACTCAGGTCCCAGATCAGGAAGTCTAATAAATAAATAATGGAGTACTCTATACTAGATATGTGTGTAAATAAATTAATGATTTTTTTTAAAAAAGTAAGAAGCAGCTGAATTATGTGCAGCTTGAGTACGGCAGTTTAACTGCTGCAGAGAAGAAATTGTTCTATATAACAGTGGTTATAATTTTTAGCAATTGTCAGTGAAAATATTTACGCAAAAAATGAACAGTTGAGCAGTTGAAGTGCACAGATATAAAAGTTTGTGCGGATAAGAGACACCCTGCAAACACCTGTTGGAAAAACACATCTGCAGATTTTCTGAGAATGTTTTCACCATAATTAATGAACAGCATGGGGAAGCGTTGTTTTGTTTAGGTCAGTATGATCTGCTGAAGGCGGAGTGTCAGAAAGAGTAGAAACTTCTTAAAGAGACAAAGTCAAATTTATTTTAAGTTATATTGCAAGGCAGAGCATTTTTATAAGGACTGAAGGTAACAGTTACTGGATTGTGCTCTAAAAATACACAGTATCATCCATTTAAATGTTTCACATCATTAAATACATGTTAATCTTGTTTGTCTGATCACTTTTTGGAAGTTTCACCACTTTCCATGTTGGATACAGGCTGTAACTCAGGTTTTCTGAATATTTAAATGTCTTTGTTGTCTTCTCTGTATTTAACAGACTAAATTCAGGTCTGTAGTCAGATTATTTGATGTAATATATTTTGATATCAGCTCAAGAGTGAAAGAGGAAAAATAACGTTATGTTCAGTTTCAGGGGAAGTACATTTACCATTGTTTCTATCAAACGCGTAAGTGAAACCTCAGTGGTGATTTATGATGACCAAAAACACTGAGGTAGGATTATTGTCCCATTGAGGGTAATTTATCTCACATTTACTAAACTTCAAACAGCTTTTAAAGAGAAAATTCAAGCCGTTCCTGCTCCTTTTAATAGACCCATGTCGCTTAGCCATTTAAAAATTTTGAATTGAATTCCAGCCCAGCAGTGTGCACCTCTACTCATAAAGCCAAAGGCAGTGGGTGATTGAAAGTGTGGAGAAAATTAGTTTTATGTCTCTCCGTCTTGTGGACGGGAGCCATTTTTCAGCATAGGGGTTGATATGTGAAATGTCTAATTTGACATAAAATTCATTTAGCACCTCCTTTTTCCTCATTGTGGATTTAATTTCTAACTCCAAATAAGGCAGAATGCGGCGACTGCAGTTCATCTTCGCAGCCGTTTTCAGTCACGGCCCAAAACATGCACAAATAAACGACGTGCTGCGCCGCTGAGATGCTTCGGAGGCCGTCATACAAACAGAGACATTGATTTACAAATAGATGGGGAGCATTTTCACAGCTGTTCCCATTGCTTTTGCTGCAGAGACACAGAAACAGACAAGATATTAATGGACAGAACCCACAAGGCAATTATTTCAGCTCTGCGGTACATGGCAGCGAGACCAATGGGGAAGGTGTATCGGGTTACCTTTCAGTGTTCTGAGTCAGTAAGCAGCATCTCCAGCTTTCTCCCGCCAGTCAAGCTGCCTTGGCAACAATCGGCGCAGAGTGGCTGAGGAGAAATGTACAGCGCTAGAGATTACAACAGGAATCAATTCAGTCAGCTCCCTCCATGCGGAATAAATAAAGAACGGTGACACATACTTATGTGTGCAACATCGGCAGCGAGAGGAAATTATAAAACACGATTTAAAAAGATTAAGCCGTAATGAAAAAAGTGAGTGCTATCCATGCTTCAATGGCTTGTTGAGTCACTTTAGTAGTCGTTTTCTGTCTGACCTTATCATTCTCTCAAGTTGTTGTGGAGGAATTTTCTCACTTTTATTTCATCAGGTGTTTCTGTCCAGGTCAATTAAGGCTCCAACATGTGACCTTTTTTTGTACATATTTGTTAAAACTGTCACCGTGTCGTGACAAGTGATGAAAAGATTGAGCTCCTGCACGACTGTAAGAAGCTTTTCTAAAAAGAAAAAAACCATTTGGTCCAAGTCAAGCAGTTTAAAAATACTTAGGAAATGTGAGTACACTTCTAAATTTGAGGAAATAAAAAAAAATCTGTAATTATCATGTCTCTAGGAATCATTTTGGTGATCCTAGCTGACAACATGAAACATTCGTTCCAATGTACTGTCAGGCGGTAGCGGGAATAAAAGGCTGTCTGTCTCTTTGTGCGGCGTGCACAAAAGTTTGATTTTAACTGCTTATTACCTAAAAGTCAACGTGTGTCAGACGTTTGTGTTTTGTCATTTTTTAAAAATGAGACGCCACCTTTTGAAAAACTGAAGCAACCTTGCGTACATGAACATCCTGGCATGAAAGAAAAACTGAAGACCTGCCTGTTTTGTGCTCTTTATCGACAAGTTGTGATGCTGCAAAAGCTGCAGTCGATTTCAAAGAGGGGAGTCGCTTCAAAAGAAATCAATGAAGATCAAGACTTCTGGGATGTGGTTGTTTTATTCTGCTCTTTGTAGGGGCAGTTTTATGTAAAATTATTATTTCATGCATGTCTGAGAAATCCTATAATATTCATAACAACCATTCAGCTGCGCAGAACGCCTGGATGGACCTAGCTCCGCCTTCTTTGCAGCTGCTGCACAGAGCAACCCTGTCCTTTCAACCACTCTGCTCCTTCAGACTAGCCACGGGCAATTAGCAAACACCTGTTGGAACTGCACACCTGCTGAGCTCGTTATAGGAGCTACTTCTCAGTGCAACGCTGGCAAAACGTTGCTGAAGGGTTATAAGAGGAGCGCCGTTGTGATAACTTCCTGCAAGTGGAGTTTCAGAAAGTGCAGGAGATTTTAAAGAGACAGAGGCCCAATTTCAAGGCATTAAATTACAAAGTCAAATTTCTTTAAAGTTATATTTGATATATATATATATATATATAGCAATTTTATAACAACTGAAAGAAACACACGTACTCGATTGTGCTATAAAATGGCCCCATGTGCTTAGAAAACACATACTACTGCCCCGTGAAGTAATAAAGGGGCAGTGGAAACTTAACTTGAACATTAAGTTTTCTGAGACGGTTCTTGGATGCACCTCCTACTCTCATCATGATGTGATCACGTCAGAGAATGAGACGCTTGATGGAGGTTGTAATTTTAGTTAAAAAAAAAAAAGCAAGGTCAGATGGAGAAGCACCGATGAAATAAATGTGTGTCCTTCCCCTAAGAAAACAACAGCGAGTCAGACATGAAGTACACCAGTACGGAGCTGTAAAATAGCCCCGTGATCAGCCCCCCGTCCTGATTTATCTGACAACAGAAGCAATCTAACGCTTCTGCTCTGATTTGTCATGTTCGCTGTGACCTGTCTGCAAACATCAATTTGAAGTTGGTGTCAGACTGCTGGTTGGAGCCGCCACAGGATGGAGGGCGAGCATGTACGTCCGTGTACCTGCAAGCACATTAATTTTCGACGTCGGCTGCAGATAAACATCAAGGCCACTTGACAGACTGCAAGCAGCTCTGGTTCCCCACACATGCACCAACCCACACAGAGGAGCGACAAACTGGAGCAACATTATAGACATGAATCATCACTCAGGCATATTGTTGTACAGAAAAAACAACCGTCACATCCTCTTATCTACTGATGAGTCGCTTCTGTTTTCATGTATAAGAACGGAGGGGAAAAACTCATTAAAAGGGATTTAGTCTGAGGCATTTGCTGGGCTCTCACAGAGGAAGGTGATCGTCCGATTTATGAGGCAGCAAAAGCAGCATTGAGAGGTCAGAGGGGTCAGGTGTTGAACCTTCACACACGATCATAAAACTGCAGATCATTGTCACCGTGTGTTTGACTTAGAGCTTTTATTTGCCGTCTCTTTTTCTGGTTTTTGTCAGATTGCTGTGAAAAAGTGTCTTTTTCTCTGTTTCAGATCAAGATAGCATGAATAAATGCAATATTCAACTGATATTTTTGATTTAATCCAAACAATGGTTTACGATTCTGTAACTGCCCAAAAATCGTACTCAAGTAGAACAATTTCAACATATTTGTACTCAAGTAAAAGTAAAACGTAGCCAAGAAATTACTCAAGAGTAAGAGTAAAAATATATCAGGTAAAAAATATAAGCAACTGATAAAATTATCAATCTTTTAATATTTAAAAATTACAGAATAAGACAGACCAAAATACTAAGTTAAGTGAAAATTTGGGTATTTTAAGGACCAAAATGACAATAATTCACATAATAAAAAAAATTACTAAATAATTGTTTTCCAGATTAGTTTCTTTCAATAAAAAAACTTATGAAACTTTAACAGAAACTGAAGGAATGAATATTGGCTGTAGGTTAGTTTTAATTCAGCAAGTGCAAGGCATTCTGGGTAAATACAAACAAAACAAACGTCTGAGTCTAGTGTGAGCAGGAGAAATGGCTCGTGGCATTTTACAAAAGAGAAATCTAACAACCGCTAAATCTCGACGCCACTTCCTTTCTGTTTACATTTTATGAAGAAGGAAGTTGTGTCTTCTTACGAGGTTTCTGTGTCATTTCCTTCTGTGGTTTTTTGCTGCAGCGAAACCACAGGCGAGGAGGGGAACAGGTTTTTTAAAAGGATTTGGATTGTTTGACAGTGTGGTGTGAAAGCAAACCACAGCAAATGAAAATGTAACAAATGTTGCAATTTTTGAATCTACTGGACTATCAGGTGTGAAAACAGCCTTCGATCCCAAAGCGATTGATGGACATAAATCATGAAAAATCAAAACATCCGCTCAACATCATAATACGTAATAACTACAGTATTTTTATGCCAGATGTAAGTAAGTTTGGTAGACCACCGACTCCTGGAAAGGTTCCCTCACTAGTCATTGACTGAATGTCATTGACTTTATCATGTTTTTGAATGTTTTGAAATTGGGGTAAACATGTTCTGCTTTTTAGATCATTTAGTTAACTTTAAGTTCAGAAAATAAATGTATGATTTTGCAGGCGTGAAATAAAACTTCTCCACATCATCTCCAACCCAGAAAGCTGGAAGCTGTCGATCACAGAGCCAAATGACCTGCAAAAATCAAACTCGGCTTACTAAAAGAAACGTGGTTAATCAGTTATTTTATGTTTTAAAAAAGGAGCCAATTACTTTCTCACATTTATATGCTGATACCTTTATTTGCCCTTTATTAAATGAAGTCAATTGGCAGTGAGGATTTATCGAGGTTTTCATGGGTGCAACCAAGGAAGTCCTTTTTTCTACAAATGTGGCTCCAATTAGGAATAAGTGGGTTTCCAGTGGTGTAAGAATTATTGCCAAAAAGCAGTGTTGCAACAAATAAACTAATCAAATAATCACAATTGTTTATTTTTATTAAAATTAGTTAACACTGACAGAATGAAAGGTGTGGATTTTGTCTTTTATAGCCTCACCTGCTACGAAATACACTTAAAATCCACATTTCTCCCCGCTGGGTTAAAGAAAGCTAATGATCTGTTGGAAAAATGGAAATCAAAATAAAATTTATGTGCCTGATAGTCGAAGACTGTTTGGCTAATCTGTCTGAGTTGTATAAACTAAGAGTCGTTTTACCATAAAGAGTGTGTGCAATAAAGGAAGAAAGACACAAGTATGAAAAATATGTGTGTGTGTGAGCGTGATATTCCAACATCAGTGTTTCCTTGGTTACTAATCCTATTTACTGAGGATTGGATCCATTATTTAGGTTCTCAGTCTCAAAGCTGAGTAGTTGCTATCACCCTGTGTCAGGGACAGAGACTCAGAGCAGGTAAATATTGAATATTTAGTGTTTTCTCCACACCACTTCTGAGTGATTAATTCACTAAAGGGATCCATTTCGAGCATAAGCTGTCATAAAAACCTAGATTTTTACAGCTAGAGTGAAACAAGCATTGAAGAGTGTCTTGTATCTATTGGTTTAATAATAGCTACCACAGATACAGCTGTAAGGTTGCATCCTTTCCACGGACTGGAATAGTTTTTCTGATCCTGCAGCTCCTCGTCTATCATAAAAAAAGACATTCAAGCAGTTAAAAAGAAGAAGAAATAAAAAAAAAATCAGCCAGTAAAGTAAAAATAATCGGAGAGGGTTCTAACAAAAGCAGAGGATGGTGTTTGCTGCAGAGTTGACACAAACAGAAAGTCTGAATAAAACGGCACCACAAATTACATCCTCCTCGTTTTGCCCTCGATAAAAGGACACAACAATATGCGCATTGAAACAGGAAATCTTTCAAACCTCTGTGTTTGGCTTCTCACAAAGCAGAGATAACCACCATGACATTCACATATTGTTGCTCCTTCTTGTGTTGCCCTCAGTCACCCAGTAATAACATTTCAGCCATGCAAAAAATGCGGTGGTTTGGTTAAACAGTTGACTGGCCAATGACCTCGTGTGTCACTTTACATTATTTACAGAAACTAAAGTGGATCTTTAACAAGACTCTCTTTCAGCAAGAGTGCGTCTAACTTCATTTAGTTTCCGGCAAAACACTCAGCATGTGTCATGAAGTCTCAGGCTTTTTCGTATTACACGGATAAAAATGAAATAAGTAATTGCTGGGGTAGCGTTAGTTTGGAGGCAGTGCTGCAGTTTAATTTAGCTGATCAACTCACAGATTGTTCAACTACTACATCTCCTGTTAAAAATTTAATAGTTGTACAAGAGACGGGAAATAAATGGTGCCACTCTTTGCTCTCGTTCTTAAACAGAGAAGTTTGCAGAGATCCTAGACCACAGGTGTCAAACTCAAGGCCCGGGAGCCAAATATGGCCCGCCATAGCTTTTTATTTGGCCCTCTAGAGTCCAAATTACATCATTAAGTCCTTGCAGATTTTCACAAATCTGCAAAATTCAAACAAAATCAACAAATTTCTAATTTTTTTCTATTTTTCTGCTAATTTTCTCAAAATTGGTCAAAAACACTGAATGCGTATCTGATACGGCAAGTGATAATAGGAGTCATATTTAACATCATACATTACCGTAAATATTGTAAAGATTTCTTACAAACATTTCTAAATGTTCACCAAAAAAATTTATCAAAACAGAAAAATAAAACAATCACAAAATCCCAGAGAAAAAGCTATTTATTGATATTTTTATAGTTTAATTGGTTTTATCAATATATTCTGGCACAACCGGCCCTTTAAGAACATTCAGATTTTTTATATGGCCCTAAATGAAAATGAGTTTGACACCCCTGTCTTAGACAGTCAGGAAAAGTCTGAAATTTAAAGTTTTTTTTTCCTGGTTTGGATGTAAATGGGTAACAAAATATATATATAGCATATTGAAAAAAGTGTTTACTTCCATGCTGGTTTTTTTCTATTTCATTCTCATTTTCATTTAATTTTGTGAAGGAGATGTTGGTGGATTTCTTACTAAGATCTTGTTCATTACCAGATTTTGTACGGTACAATGTGTTTGACTTACTTAATGAGAAATAAACCATCAAACTCCCAGTACAAACTGGAAGTACAAACTCCCAGTGCAAAGTGTATCTGGAGCCTGTGGAAGAAACTTTGAGCACAAAATCCCACCTGATTCAAGATCCAACTAACAAAATAAATTGAGATTGTGGCCAAATGGCTAATTTCCATCTCTAGTCCCATTGGCAGGTTTTATTATGTTTAATAATAAGAAAAAGCAGCCTCAGACTACTGCATGATCAACTCTTCAACAGAGAAAAGGAGGCAATGAAACAGTTGCTTGCAATTTGTTGTCTATATTGGTTAAATAATTTAGACTTTAAGTTGATAAGTAAGTTGAATGGCGTTAGCATAGTGGTGTATAACTATGCTAATCCTTTCATTCATGAGTCATAATCCTTTATGTAAATGTTTTATTTTCCAAAGTGTTTTTGATTTTCTTTAGGCATAAAAAGCAATAAAAAAATATCAAATAAAATTCTAGGTGACCAGTTGTAATTTTCTCCAAATACTGGATACATCTGAGTTGCTTTTTCGTCTGTCTGCCATATTGGATTTAACAAAAACTTTCCTGCACTTGCAGTGGATGGCCAGTAGTTGATAGTGTATAGGATGATGCACTTGTGTCCACTTCAGTGGTCTGTGTGCATTTATAACATAAAAATATACAAGAAACAAAAGAAAATGGCTTTTAGATAGTTACCCACTGCAGTGACCTCTATGTGTGAAAGGGCTAAGCTAAACAGGCTAAGCTAATCAGCTAACAAATCTACTGTGCAGTTTTCAAATGCTAAACAGATCCATTGTGTTATTCAACTTTTAACCCACTATTCAATGTAATCTAAACATCAGTGCATTTAGATGAAATTGCTCATTTCCACAGTTTCTGCCCCTTCCTGACAAATCTAGACACCCTCTGCTAAAAGCATTTGGTCCGTTTTATATTTTATTTTGAGATTGTGCTGTTCATGATATCAAACATGTGTGGTGTATTTTTCTCAGGAGCAGAATAAGCTGGAGCTGGCCTGTCCAGCCACTAAAGTTCTTCCCTTCCGTTCCTTCCTTCCTCTGTGTCCCAGGAGGGCAACTGGAGGAGAATGACTGGTAAAACCCAGACCAGCAACGTGACCAATAAGAATGATCCTCGTTCCCTCAACTCCAGAGTCTTCATCGGGAACCTCAACACAGCCATCGTTAAGAAGACCGACATAGAGGTCATCTTCGCCAAGTACGGCAAGATAGTGGGTTGCTCTGTGCATAAAGGTTACGCGTTTGTACAGTACATAAACGAAAGGAACGCCCGAGCCGCCGTGGCAGGAGAAAACGCCCGGATCATTGCTGGACAGCCTCTAGGTGAGTCGTTTCTTGCATTTCAGTTTTCATTTGAAACTAATGAGCGAGTGGAGAGCTACAGCCATTGCTGCACTTTCCCCTTGAAACAGAAAACATTTCAGCCGAGCCGGGAACAGGACTGCCTCCCCTGGGAACACCGAATGCCTCAGGCTTTCCTCAGACTTTCAGTTCAGAACCTCTATTGTCTCTGAAGTACTGAACCCACTGAACTGTCTGTTCGTTGTCAGGCTGTTTTGGAGAAAATCCCCTCTGAAAGTGTAAATCATCCACTTGGGGGACTTGATTTTACCATTTACCAAACAGCAATGTGGTAACAGCACGTCAAAGCTCTCGTACCAAACAATTTAGAGCAGAACATGATATGTTAAGTGGCCTGGGATATCGCTGCAGTGCTGTGTTTGAGCGTTTCCTTTGCTCCTGCACAGACTTTGCAGTGGATTGTTTCAGAGGATTTTAAGGTGGTAATTTATCGTGTCTTTTATTGTATCCAAAGAAATTAGGAAAATGTGGAACGCATTAAAAAATCCTGGTTGTTCAGATTTGCCTCTCCAAAATTAAAGATGGAGTATATAACTTTTATTTTTTTTAAATATATTTATTTTACATTTTGTTAAAACCATGTTGTGACAGTTTGATATGAGACAGATACAATGTAAAAAAAATCAAGCTCATCTGCCTTCTCCCAGTACTAACTAGAAGCAACCAATCAGGGCCAGGAGGAGGGTCTTAGCGCTGTTAATCATCCTCTTGGACAACACAGCTTCTTCCTGAGTGTGCCAGGAATGCTAAGGCTAGTTAGCATGGCCACAATGACGGCAGATAAACAGTTTCCTGCAACGTTACATTGTTTCTCCGCCACTATCACATTTAGCAACATGTACATGAGGTTGACTAACAACGCTAAGACCCTCCTCTTGGCTCTGATTGGCTGTTTCTGACCTGGAGCGGTGCATTTCTGGAAGCTCACAGAAGAGCCTGATCTTTTCAAAGACATTTCATTAGGATATAGTAACATTTTAACAAATATGTAAAATATATTTTTATAAAAGTTACATACTGCAGTTTTTAAAGAGCTCTTGCTCCTGTTTATATTTTGAAGACATTTTGTTTGTTCAGGTGGCATCTTATATTATATTACATTATTCATTCTCGGCTGTGAATGTTGGTAGTCCACTGTTCAGTTATTTTAGTACGACTCAGGTTGCCGGTGTTTTTCCTCCCAGTTTTTCCATCCACTTAACTTTCCTTTAACAGGCTTATATACGGTACCCTGTGAACAGCTATCTTCTTTAGTAGGAACCTTTTGTTACTTTCTGTCGTTGGGAAGGGTGTCAGTGACTGTCTGCTTGATTGTGTTGGCCAAAACATTTATGATTCAAAATATTCTTTGCTGGTTTTACGTAATAATATAATTTTCTCAAAAACTTTATTTTCGGGTTTTCATTAGACACGATCATCATAATTATCGTGAATAAACACTTCAAATATATGACACGGCATTTGTAAGTTTTTTTTTTAAATAATTAATGAAATATATCATCTACTGAGGTCCACACACCTTCCTGAAACTTGCACAAATAATGTTTACGGTCGTAACCTTTCACCAGAAACTCACTTAGAAAAACAAAACTATCCCTTTCACTTGCTGAGGTTAGAAATGCTGTTGCCAAAACAGACACCAGAACTCAACCAGCTGGTATAAAAGTAATATTTTCCAATAAAAAGACAGAAAATACATGCAGCAGGAAAGCTTGTGATTTCTTTGCAAAAGTCATTCTGCATTCCTCATGTGTTATTGCCTGCTATTTTTATTTTTTTTTTATTATTTGAGAGAGCAAATAGATTGAAAGTGCTTTTATCCCCAGTGAGTTTGGCTCACACCAACGAGGGGATTGCGCCCTCGCCGTATTAGTCAATCTACAAGTTAGGTGGCGGGGGCAGGGATGGGAGATACATCCTTAATTGACAATTAAAGCCACACTCGGCCTCATCCTCTCAAGCTGATCCTTCTAATAATAACACAGCGGAGAAATGAATCGGCTATATAATGATTTGGGTCGAGGAAGGACCTCTGCAAAGGATGCGGCTTCCAGCACAAAAACATTTCATTAAAGTGTTATTACTTGCAAGTTGATTGCATGCCGGTTTCAAAGGTAAGCTCGTATATTGTTGTTTCTGAAGGGACAGCGCTCATATTTTTCGATTTCAAGACATTATTGAGCGTGTTTACTGAGTTCAGTCACACTGAAGGCAGAAAAAGGTGGAAAAAGCACTTTTTTTTAAAAAAGGAAGAGACTGTTTTGACTTCAGAAATTTTTTCCAGGAGGTCAGAAACGGCGAGTAAAAAGTGCCTCTCCTCTCAGTGACACATAAGACTGCAGAGTCATCGCATGCTCCCACCACTGGAAATGAGACTGCGTGGAAACCGAATGTTTGTCTGCATCAGGATGAAGAACAGGATGAAATATTCTACAATAACACAGCTGGAAGCACCGCCTTCCACCGGCGCTGAATGAAAAACTCAATGGTTCATTACTCCGTCAAATATGAAGAGGAGTTAATGACGTCATCGCTTGGATTCAGAAAACAGCTTTCATTACTAAATAATGCCGCGTGTGATGCTGTTCTGAACTGCATTTTGCTCCTCTGTGGTGAAGATTTAAGTGCTTTGCATGAGGCAAGATGTAAGATATTTTTAAATGCATTTCTCTGAAATATACAGAGTTAAAGAAATCTCTAAATCTCAAAATGACAAACTCAAAAAAAATACAGAAGCCTATGTGATGTGGACAAACATTTTTCAGTAGTAAGCAAATGGTTTAGTAAGATGATTACGTATTTTGATAGAAATGTTTGTTAGTTTGTCAATTGAGTTCATTAAATATACACATAGTCCTAGATTCATCTTCCTACACATTTACAAACTACTAGAGATGTGCGATTGAAGTTAAAATAAATTCCTTTTGGACTGCGTTGTTCTACACTTTGCTTCATCCAGAGACAAAACAATTACTTAGTGAAGGTGTGGACTAATTTTAGATTTTAACATCCATTTGCTACCTTTTAGCCAAATATGTATGTGATGTGCCAGTTGGACGCTATGGAGTTTGCCAGAATTTGCCTCCACTATGAAGAGACCTGAACAAGATGGCTGTTAATGTTAATTCAATATTTGGAAGCGTGACCGACATGGACTGAACGGTTTTGTTTTCTTCCTCTGCTGCTATTAGTAAAACTACAAAAAATGTCAGAAAATTGAGATCGTCATTCACAACATTTCCTTCTGTTCTCTGATTGGCTCAGTAGAAATTCTTCTGGAGAAATCCAAGTGAATGGGAGAAAGCCCCAACAGAGCACTGTAGGAAGATGAGAATTGACCAGAATTGCACAGGAACAATATGGCTACATAACATACCTCAACTCTGAGATGACTGCGTGTTTATTTGGATCCGATGACTGAGGTGATTGATCGGATTCGGTACCTTCCTTATGATCAGCCTGGATGCATCTTAAGACCAAGAGTGAACAGCATCTTTGGGACAAACTTCTGGTTGCAAAGTGCTGTTAGAAGCGATCCAAATTGGTTTCTTATTGACACAACACTGTTTGAGTCTGAAAAAACTATAAACTTTGGTCTGAATAGTTACAATAGTCAGAAAATGAGTAAAAAAAGCAAATATTACAACCTCCGGAAAGTATTGCGTTGCAACAATGTCTTGCTCAATGATAGCTAAAAGTAAAGAAAAAAGTGGCAAGATGAAAACCTTCTGCCTTTTATTGCTTGCTTTTGCTATTCAGTAGCTTTATTGGGCTGCTGCAGTGACAATAAAATAATATATTTTACTCGAAAAACTGCTGACCTGAACAAAATAGAAACCTTATTCAATGGGAAATTATCAGTCAACATGAATTAAAATCCGTTTTTCAACATTTGTAGACATTTTCTGCATTAATTGTTGTTAAAACACACTGCTTCATGCGCTCTCAGCAAATATTGCTGGCGCCTCTGGTCTTATTTATGGTGAAATGAGCTCCAGCCTTGTTTTTCCTGTTTCTGAAGGCAGTTATTACAGCCGTGTCTTGTTGTGGCTTTTGTGTGTCTGCCCTGAGCCGGCCGATGAGTGATTGGCAGGAGGTGATTGAAGTCCTGATGGAAAAGGACAATGAAAGAATAGCATCCTACATTTTTCTGAGGGAGGCCTTGTGTAAAGGTGAAAGGAACTGTGCAAACCGGAAAGATTCGGACTCTAACGACATCTCCGGAGAGCCTGTCTTTTATAGTAACAACGCATGATAATCTGTCTGATGGGGACTTATTTTGAGGAGCTTGACCCTCCCTAAAGAGATCTGCATTCCCTTCACCTGGAAGTTTCATGGTGAAGGTCCATCCCATTACAATATTAATGACCACAGTGAAGGATAATGTGTGATGGATCACCAATCATCCTGCCTCCAAATGGCATTGGCAAGAGTTGGGCACATAAATAATAAAGTGATTTAGATGCAAAATCCATCCTAAGCGGATTACAAACGCAGTGGCACTGCAATCAATCGTCATTTTGGGCCAACAGGATGCATAGCAAGCAGGATTCTGACAGTAAACTATACGAGTAAGCAGCAGAGGAATGAGCAGAGACAGGTATGCAACCGAATGCCGTATGTAGTCACACTTACTCTCTCATTATTTTTCAAGAACAGGCTTTTAAAGCAAAGCCTTGCACAAAGAACTACAAAACGTGACGTGACTAACAAAATTACTTTACAACATCTTTTGGAAAAATCTTGCTTTGTTAATTAATTTGAGTATTAAATAAAAGAGCTGTCAAAAATTAGATCAAGGTTTTTTCACAAAGAGTTGATTTTAAGCTGCTAAAACCCTTAGAGTAAATATATAATTTGACTTTTGTTTTCTTTAAATGTGGTTGTTATGTATTTTATAGGCACATAGTGTCACTTTATACCACAATCAAGCAGGTTATGTTACTTTCAGTTGTTATAAAAATGCAGTATAAATAACTTAAAAGAAAGATAGCTATATCTGATCCTTTGAAATTGGCCTTTATCTCTTTGAGGAACCCCTTTCTGATACTCCCACATCAGTGCTACTCTGTGATAGAACCATTCTCAGGAGCGTTGGACTGAGAAGTAGTTGGTATGATAAGTTCAGCAGATGCTCAGTTACAGGTGTTTAGTATTTGCTGCTGCTAGTCTGGAGGAGTTGAGTGGGGGAAGTGTGTGTGAGATGGGAGCTCCAAGAAGTAGCTTTATGGAAATAGGTGGCACTTTCTGCTGACCCTTTGAAACTAGATCACTCAATCATTCGAGACGCCATGATGGATGCCGGAAGTGAGGGATGGGAGTCTCGAACAGAGCGACTGAAATTGATTTTTCCAGTTTATTCATGGCTTCTACTTGTTTGAGTCTGTGAACGTAACACACCTGGTTGGGGCTCACAGACGGCGGTGTTTACACAAATTGGAAACGGCTAGCTTAGAAACTGACCCGTACCTCCTCCCTCCTGAGGTGTTAATCAAATTATTGACTGAATTCGCACCACATAATTTATATTAATAAGTTGGAAACGGTGATTCCCCTTAAACCAAAGCAGAATTTAAAACGTACAAAAGATGAGATACTAACCAGTTTTTTCCATACATGCTAGGCTACATGACCTGTGGCATTGTCTCCATGGTAACCACTGGTTAGACGCATACCTTCTCCATAATGTGATATTTGGTATCTTTCCAATAATACTTATAAAGTAAATGATCGTTAGTCTTCTTACCTTATAAAAAGTGTTTGCTGCTAATACGCGGTCATTATGCCAGTCATTATGATTGACGGCTGCTTTCCATCACCGCTGTATGTTTCCTCATTAAAAGCTATAAAATAAAATGACAAGTTCGTTTTGCGTCCTTGCAGACATTGAGTTTTAAAGAAAACTTGGTCCACAACATAGCAAAACACTGACATAATAGAAGTTATCGCAGCTACATGTGACTTCATGTAGTTTTTGTTTTTTAACTTGTCGTCTGTGTTTAATACTCTGTGGACCCAACTATGTAAAAATCAAACTGTACGTTGCTTTGTTTTCAGACCTGAATATTAGCCATAGGACTGATGACAAAGCTGGTTTTGTGCTAACATTCAACAGGCTTTCATGTGTCTGATTCGCCTTGTGAAAAAGACATTGATTTGGCCCCATCTCCTTCAGCATGACACCAAACTCACTTGTAAAATGATTGCAAGATGAAAAGACAGTTTAAAAGAAACAGCTACTTACCTAGACAAATATTAGGCAGTTGAGGCAGCAAAGAAAAATGCAGCACCTCGGTATAAAACTCGTGTGACTCAGTGAATAAATATCACAGGCTTAACATTGCGTGAGCGCTACAGCCCGGGGGGATTTCTTCTTTAATGTCGATCCAGCCCAATCCTCCTTCGTCTTCTCCACCTGGCTGTTGTAAGTCTTTCCATTTTCACCAACAGCATTCACAGGCTCGCTCCCCGCTTTGATATTTGTGCGGATAATTCAAAGGGTGTCTACAATGGCTGCACACTTCACTAACTTAACTTTGAGTGCCAGTTTTTTGAAGCATGAACAGCCGTGAGTGAGAGTCCCTGTGGGCGTTGCAGCGAGATGGGCCAATTCCTCCTGATCTGCTGGACTGAGCCGTGCCAAAGCTAACCCCACGAGGAAGTCTCGGTATCTTTCATGTCCCTTCCTTTGCCTCCGAGGCCGTAGGAATATTTAATGCATCTGAGCATGTGTGTGCAGGAAGCCATGCGAGAATTCAGCTTTGTGCCTCATTCGATTAAAGAAAAGGACTACTCCGCACAAATTGCTATATCAATATATAATCTATTTCTTCTCCTTCCGCTCTTAGTCCCTCTTGCTATCTTTCTGTGTCCTTGCGGGTGATTAGAATGCACCCCGGTTGTCTGTCTGCTTCCTCATTAATCACGCTCTGAAGGAGAGGCCCGGATGTTGAATGCACAGTTAGCCTGACCCGGTCCTTAACAAAAGCCTCTAGAAATAACACCAGGTATTGAGTTGCACACAGGCTCATGGTCGTGCCAAACCAAAGCTTCTTTCTCTGCTATGACGATCAAGCTTGCTATTTACCTCGGCTGCAAGATGCTTTTTTTTTTTTTCCAGTCTCGGCTTCATACATTCTGGCAAATGCTTAGCTGGGGCCAGAGCCACTGTGTGGACTGGAAGTGAGATGGATTACCGTGTGGATTTTGGCATCAGACACTGCGGCTAATTCTCTGATTAGAAACCGAGGTTTCAACAGTGGAGAAACACTGAGCTGTGAATCAGACTCGACTCTGTGGGCTCCACAGGCTCTGGTGGTCTGGGTGTGTTTGTTTCAGCTGCATTTTCTGTGTGCAGACTCATCTACAACATGTAGAATATTACTTTACATTACACATAACCAACAACTCTGTATGAATCTGTTTTATCAGAATTAAGGTGTGTTCTCACTAGGAAAGCCTTCAATCTGCTTGTTTGGTCCAGACCAAAAGAAAACTTTCTTTTTTGTTTGGTTTCTTTCACATTTTGCCTTTTTGCAAGCAGACTACATCTTGCTAAAAAAGCCAAATGGTTGATGATTATTGCTCCCTTTGCTTGTTGAATTTTTGTTGTGCACATTTCCAAAAACACTTTATTGATCCCAAAGGGGAATTAAATGTTGCTACAACTCGTACTAATTCAAAATTCTTTAAAAATTGCAGCTGCAATTCCATTTTGAATGTCAAGAGCAACTCAATCAAGGAAAGTTTTGTGATGTTTCTAACTTTGCATTGGATGCTGCATGCTGAGTAAGAAGCGATGCTCTGTGGAAAAAACTGGATCAGGTACAATTTGACGTAGATGCAGCTGTAATGTTAGCAACACTCATTTTTACCATAATGTCCAGCAGCCGTGGCTCATGAAGTCCGAAAAGATTCATATTTCCTGGAGCTGCTTTGGTCTGTATTCAAACCAGAAGCAAACCGCACCAGAATTGTCTGGAAGTGGACAGACACCACCTCCATCTGGTTGTTTGGGTGAGGTTTGAGGTTTGAGGTTTGCTTGAGTGTTTTCACACCTGCACATAAGGTCCGGACTAACGGGCACAACAAACTCTGGTCCTCTTAAAGTGGACAAAAAGCGCTTTTCCATCGGCAAGTCGTGCATTAACCGGTTAATGTCCGGTTTGATTCTACACCATAGTGAGCGTTTCTGCTCCTCGTTTTTGTAGGCAGAACAAGCCCACAGCAGCTGTGGTCAATTCTCAACAACTCTGAACAGTCGAGGTTCTGGTTCTGGTGGATTCAAATATACTCAGATATTTCGTTTTGTCTAATAGAAATTAATTTCTGGCCCAAACATAAAGGTAAAGTCATCGACCAGTTGACTATTTTGCGACAGTAACATTCTTTTACTTTATTTTCTTCAATGTGAAATGTAAGGTAAAGATTTAGGTGATGAGGTCAAAAGATGTAAACAAAAAGCCATGTCTGAACTTTTGTGTTTTTGTTTTTTTCCTTTTAATCCAAAAGAAAAATAAAATTCACATCACAAGTTAATATTATATAGTTTGGGTGTTTTACACTCTCAGTACAGAAAGCTGACCTCCGCTTCACCATTTCTCTCTCCTCTATGAGTCTTCAGAGAGTCAAGCCGTTAGCATCGCTGCTCGTGATTTGATTGTCTGATAGCAGACGGCATATCCCTGGTCTAAAGCTAAACTTTAATGTTTGCGGTTCTCAGTGACGTAAATCACTGTGACCAATGAACAAATGCGGTCAGCTGTCAATCTAATGGCTGTCAATCAAATAAACTGGATTAGTTTATGGAAAATTAATCAGGCGAGGCGGGCCGAGGCCCGTCCCGGCTCGAGGCGGGCCGAGGCCCGTCCCGGCTCGAGGCAGTCTAGTAGAAAAGTGCCTTAAATGTGCCAGATGTGAGTACATTGTAAAAAACATCTCAGTTTTTCTGTAACTTCCTAAACAGGTTGTCATATTTGGAGTAATTTGGTAATTGTGGTTATAAATGATCTTGTAATGTTCTTTGCTCAATCACTTCCTCATCTGTTCTTGAATTTCTTCATCTCCTGACATGATATGTTGCTTTTTGCGATATATTGTAGATTCAATGCAAGTGATGTCTTGATTTTACAGCTCTGGTAGCAAAGAGTGAAACTAAACTCATGATTTAACAAGAGGAGGGATTACTTTGTCCCACAGATCCAGGTTGGTTTGGGCAGCATTTTTTTACTCTGGATGTCTTTGATATTAAAAATTTGTTGAAGCACCAGTGAGGGTGATAAAGTGGTTGTATGAAGTTCACAGCTAGGTCCTTTCATAATGCATCACTTTTCATTCGTGTCCTAATATCTTCCAGCTGACCAGCTCGCCACTTCAGATTCCAGGGAAATTCATCTTTCCTTTAACCGACTGAGGGATTTTTCTAGCTGATAGCAGTTGCTAAATAGGCCTGTGGGGGTCCACTCTGCGCTGGGTGGTGTAGATGGCCTGAGACAGGATTAACATTGAGACTAACAAGCATCCTGCAAGCGTTCATTAATATTACATCTATCTGTAGAAGCAAAGGAGAGGAAGACGACGAGGGATCTCAGAGTTGTATAATTCTCATCTCTGCATAATCAAAGATGCTGCTGTTCTGCTGAGAGTTCAGGTTCACAACCGGGGCGTATTGATGCAGCCGGATGAAGGAGTCACAGGCTGATTGAGCCGGACTTCTGTGCAATCAAAGCAACATCGAACAACAGACATGCATTTGGGCAATGACTGGATAACTTAATTGAAATAAGCACATTAACAGAAGAGTCATGCATTTGCAGGGACTTTATCTACCAGTCTCAGCGAAGTGCGTTGAAAGTAATGAGGTTTTTACGTTGGATTAGTGTTCTTCACTCGGGCATGCTGGGAGATAATACTTCAGTAAGTCGGTTGTGTGTTTGTGGCAGGTGATATGATGAAGACCTCCGTGGTGCAACCTTTACTCAAAGCCTCGGCGAAACAAGCAGCTTCATAAGAGACCCGAGACATGGAAAATCTGCCCTTTAACACTTCATACAAGTCGAAGGGGGTTCGTCGTGTCCTTCTCTTAATTCAATCGTTGACGCACAGGACGCGAAGGAGGAACCGGGGCGTTAGAAACAGGGAGCGTACAGCGCATGAGTGATGATTTGTGACTCGTGATTACACATGCAGGGGTAATTACTGGGGCCCTGGAGCATTTCCGGGGACACCAGGGCCCAAAGCTTACACCCTCTGACTCTTCGCCTTTATCTTAAAGAGAATCAGTGAGGATCAAATCAGGGCTAACAGAATAAAATTAAAAACGGCCCATAACCTCGCCCAGAGCGGAATGATGCTCCTCCATGTGTTTACTTCCCAAATTTCCTTATTTGACTTTGCACTGACTCTCCCTCCATCTCTTTGCTCCCTCGCTCTCATTTGTTGGCTTCCAGCCTTTTTTATTCCCTCATACTAATTACATTGCAGATATGAGGACT